GGGGGGGGGGAGAGGAGGGGGAGAGAAACACTGGACATTTTAGTTGTCTGGTATTTTCTGTATTTTTTTTTTTAAACCAGACAGGAGGTGAAAATACTGGACTGTCCGGGTCAATACCGGACACCTGGGAACCCTAATTACTATCTATCTCTAGGGTTTAATAAAACTAGAGTAAAAGTGAAGATTTTCAGAGCAGCTTCATGTTACATGGAAAGGACTGGTATGTTACAACATCCTGAAAAAACTGATGATCCCTTAAAAACAAATTCACCTGGGAAAAGATACATATAAATGTAGAAGTCTAATTGAAAATCTAAGTCCAAGTATTCCCTCTTCTGTTCACGGCATAGTAAAACTTTGCATATAAAATTAAGGCCAAACACATTAATGAAGCTGTTCTTCAAATCTTAAGACGATTAATGAAGGATTCCTCTATATAATGTTAGAAATGCCTACAGCAGCAAGGTATGAAGACTGCCTGAATGTTGGACTTTGGTTGGTACACTTTCACAATCTAAACATAAATGGTTCACACCCCCTAAATATATATTTGAATTGTTTACTCTAAAAGTTCTATCTAATCAGAAGAAAATATCTAACTTGTAAAGACTTTTTTCCTTTTGCTCTAAGCTTACTCAAATCAAGACAAATACCATTATGCTGTCAGTTAACCAACAACTTATTTATTGACTAGTCATGAACAACCAACACTATTCACTATTTAGTACATGAAACAACTGGATGTATTGCAAAAATAATGTCTGGTATAGTATGTGTTCTTTGCACAAATTTACTTTCTAAAGACTGCAGGTAATCTTCCCCTAGAAGAATAGGGCACTTAAAAAGTGCTGGAAATAAGCAAAAGAAAAATACCCTTAGCAGCAGCAAAAGTCGGCTAGAGAAGGGTAACTATTTCTCTTGCAAAACAGGAAGTCCATAATGATCTTGTGTCTTCTGACATTTGGACAAACATGAACAACCAATCTACATTCTCCGAAATCCATGTAATATGCTGCCATTCCTCAATCACAGAGCACCTGAGAGTTTTCCCACAAAGTTATTTTATCAAAGTTATTAAAAAAACAAAAACACAGCATGATTGCAGACCAGAGACTGACCATTGTGGGACACCACTAAATACATTTTCCCTGTTGGAAAGCCAGCCATTGATAATTACTTTGAGTATGGTCTTTCAACTAGTTGTACATCTACCTTATAGTAACTTCGTCTATATCACATTTCCCTAGTATTCCCTTAGTCTTTCGCACATTTTATGTGCATATAATATTATGTGGAATCTTCAAGGCTTACTCCCATCCAGACTTCCTTTCCACTAAACTGGAAGAATTCTAACTTTTTTTTTTTTTTAAATTGAATTTATATCTTCAATTCTTTGGAAAAGGTGGGGGAGAAATTGTTTTTAAAATCATTTCCTCATTAGCAAGTTGCATCCTAATACTCTACTCAAGCAACATTAGGTAAAAATATGTGCATTACAGGTTAAGAATACCACTCCCTTTACATCAGACTGCAGGATACATTAGAATATTACTGAAGCATTGGTTACAATTCCATTGAAAAAGGCTGAATTATCTTAAAGTTAAATCTTGGATTCAATCACTATGAAATTCCCTGGAAACTGAGTACAGATTTTTTTAAATTAAGTTAGTGCATTAGCTCAGGAGTTAAAAGAAAATTTAAAAATAGGAAATTTAAGAAATTTAGCATGCTTTTTATCAGTGCTTTTTTTGTTCCAAAAAAGTGAAATATGGCAGGCTCTTCACATTTTCCATATTGTTAAAGTTCCTTGAACTCTCATGCATAAACAACATTTGCTTTGTTATTATACAATTCCTTCAAAACTACTACCTATCTGTTATAATTAGAGATTATAGGCAGGGTTAGGTCAACAGCTCAAGATTTATTTATACAAAAATTGGCAGAGGTGAATCTTAGGTATATCTGGTAGAACAGAAACAACGAGATGTCCTGTGATACCTTATAGACTAACAGATTTATTGGTGCATAAGCTTTCGTGGGCAAAGACCCACTTTGTCAGATGCATGCTACTTGGTAGAACAGGCAGATTTTAATTTGAAAGACAGGATCAATTCTCTTTTGTATTAAGAAAAATAAAAAAACAAACAAAACAAAAGTTGATCCTTCAGTAGGAATAGCTGATTGAATTAGGAGAAATATCTGTATTTGGAAGATTTGAAAAAAGAAATGTGTCCTTTTATTCCTTTTCAGTTGTTTTACTGGGCTAGACGTTATAGACAGCTGTTTTGTAGAGGATAAACGAGTGAGGAAGAGGCAAAATTAGCCAGGAAAATGGAAAAAGAGTAGGTGGAACTTAAGTTTTACTTATTAAATGTATAGCTACTGTAGCCACAAGAAAATAAAACAACTAATTCAAAAAATGCTGGCTTATTTTACAGAATTACTAGGAGATTTACCCGATGTTGCTCAGGGCCTTAATTTTTGTTTTTCTTCATTTAAATTATTGATCAGGGATGGAGCTGGGGATGAAGGGTTCAATATGCAGACTGCCCCGGGGAGAGAGGACTGTCCCCTTCCTATCTCATTGCAGCAGCTTGAGACCAGATGAGAAGTGCCTCTCCATGGCCACTGGGACTCCAGTGGGCACAGCTGGAGGCAGGTCCAGGTTCCTCTGCCCTGTGCTCCGCAGCCAGAGTGAGGAATGGAACAGACTGCATATTCCCCTCACAAAGGAGAACAGCCAGCAATGTTCCGGTACTAATGAGGGAGGGAGTGAAAGCTTTACTATCCCCTGCCCTCTCTAAAGGGTGCCTGGGGGTGGGAGGCTCGGGGCTAGGCAGTCCCAGACAGGGAGGGAGGGCATACCCCCAGCCAGCTCTTGTTGCAGCCTCACTACCCCACACAATCACAGCCTTACTGTTTTACTTTGCTTTAAGTTAGGATAAGAGGAAACTGCAAATTTGGTTAGAAATTCCCCGTTTAGGAAGAACTCTTGAACAAAAGAGACACAGATTCACTCGCTCACAAACTCTCTCAAATATATAGTAGATAAACTTTAAGAAAGGATGCCAAGAGGAAGCCAATGTTATTAATTTGGACTCAAACATATCCAGCAATACTGGAGATCAGCTGATATAACAGAAGTGAGAGAATCTGAAGTTATGAGTAAACATTTTCCAACTCATGTGCTTAGCCAACAGTCACAAAAGCAGGCATCATTATTCATAATTTGTATTGCATACAGATAATTGGTTTGTTTAATCTGCAGAATAGTTAAGTAACAAAAGCCTTGTTAGAGAAGACAGACAGAATTCCTAGTCACTTTTCCAGTTGCCCCCACCACACAATTGTCTTAAATATATACATTAACTTGTTCTAATTTAGTAACTTTACAAATCTATATATTTTAGAAATGTGCACGTGTCTGTCCATCTGAGAGTCAAGTTGTTCAAGAACTCCTCCTGAATGGTAAGAACTAGGACCACCCAATTTGGTGTACAGCTTCCTCTTCTCCTAACTTAAAACAAGGTCAGGTTTTGGCTGTGCAAGTGTAACAATGACAGGTGGAATCTCCGGGACCTCTGGAGCTCAGTGCATGAGATTCTACAGCTTGAGCTAAAAGCCAGCTGCTTCTTAGTTAAGGCTGTAGAGCAGGGTTACTCAGCATGCGACCCACGGCCCATTTGTTTGCATCCTACGGTGTGGTTTGCGTTTATGCGGGGCTCAAACACGTGGCCCATGGGCGGGATCCTTTGAACATGGCCTCCACTGGGAACATGGTCCACAAAAGTGAGGCCTCTCGCAGGTGGGGTGAGCACTAAAGATGTAAGTGGATGGGCTGGCTGGAACAGATAGATACAAGATGTTGGCATTTCTAGCCCCCAGGGCGGGAGGTACTGGGAGCGCCGGAGCACTGTGGGAAGTGCTGGCTGCTTAGCCTTGTGGGCTGAGCCTGAGAAGTGCTGACTGGCCCAGGCTATGTCTACACTACAATGATCTATCGGAAAAAGGCACACAAATTGCGCTCTGCAATTTGCGTACCTTTTTCCAACAGTTTTTTCGGAAGACACTTTTCCAAAATTTGGCCCGTCTACACTGGGCCAAATTTCGAAAAAGCCTCCTCTTTCGGAAG